TTTTCTTTTCTTCTTTATTTCTATTTTACGTTTCAATGAATACATCTCTTTTTTCTCTTCTTGTTGAATAACTACTTGTTCTTCAACTTCTTTTTGGTTTATATTAATTTCATTATTGTTAGAATTTCTTATAGGTTCTGTGTTATCTGGAGAATTCATAATCTTCTTAATATTAGATACTTTTTTAAAACCTTCTTCTGACTCTTTTCTTAGCTCTTTTTCTAGTTCTACATTCTTAGTACTTTGATTTCTGTTTGGTACTTTTTCTTTTAGATCTACTTTTAGTTGAAAGTTGTAGTTATCTGAAGATTTATGAATAGATTTTTCACTGATTTGTTTAGTTGAATCTTTCATTCGATCTTTCAGTGGTTTTGAAATTAAATTAGGTTTTTTAAATTCAAATCTTTTCATTGAAATATGGAAATTTGATCTCTTATTTTCTTTTGGTTTAACTTGAGATTGTTTTTTGGGTTTATTTATTTCTTTGTCTGTTTCTTGTTTGATTGGATTCTCAATACACTTTATTTCTTTTGCCTCAATTACTTGGTTCTCATCTTTCTCTGATTTTTGTGTTTGTTCTAAAATAACTCTTTCATTTCTTGCTTCTGTAAACACCTTTGGTTGGATAGTTTCATCCATCTTATTTGAGACTATTTCATCTTCTTCTGGTGAAAATTGAAATGAAGTCATACTGTTGAAACTTTTAATACTGGTACTTTCATTTTTTAATAACACTTCTCCACTGTCAGTTGTCATTTTGTCAAACCACTTCATTGTGTCACTATTATCAAATCCCTCTTCTTTTATTATACTAAGTGGATTAAAACCATTGTTTGAATCATGTAATTTGATTTTTTCAATATCATTTTCTTGTTTATTATATTCAATTTGTGGTTGTTTGTTAAAAAATAAAGGTTTCTTCTTTGTTTTAGTAAATAACCTACTCATATAATATCCTTTTATTCAATACTTTTTATTATATACCCGTGTCTTTTCATGTTATAAGAAATGTGGAACAAAAGAAAGATTTTAGGCTCTTCGAATTTTCAGATGTTAAGGATGGTTAGAAATAAATAGAAAATACAATCTCATATTTTTAGATACCTTAAAAATCAGTCAATCAAAGCTATTAGTAAATTCCACAAGGAATTATATTTTTATTGGTTAATAGTAAGTGTTGGTTTATCGAATCAAACGTATCAACACCTATCTACTTTTTATGGACAAACAACACACTGCCTTTATTCATAATGAAGAGTAACTTGAGTCATATCTATAAAATCCTTTACACGGAAAAAGATATGAATAAAAGAGAGACATTGTAATGGTTGTTCTGTCGCAAAAAATTAAGGGGGTATACGCAATTACCCTTTAAATGTTACTCTAAGGTTTTGGAAATACCTAATTGATTGGGGCATCATGTTAAAAATCTTCATTAAAAAGAAGTTTTTTTAATACTCAATGAGGTAAGTTGATATGAAATGGGAAAGGTTAAGAACAAAAGTGGTTAGGCTAATCAACTTAAGGGCTAGACCTCAGTATTAGAGAATTAAATGAGTTAATGAAAACCATTCAAATTAACTAGTTTATGAGTAGATACATGATTCATACTTGTTGGCTATGTAGATCTGTAGTAATAAAAATGTTGTTTTGTAATATACTGTCCTTTGCTAAATAAATAGTGAACTAGATAAAGTATTACTTAAAACAGAAACCAACAAATAAAGAGTAGTGAATTTATGAAAAAAAAGTGTGGCTATTTTTCTTTTGGATTGGGAAGGTGTTTTGTTTGAAATAAGATTATTGAAAAACTTAATTTTAAGAATCATTAAACAACAGATTATAGAGTTGAAACTTGTCAAGAAAGTTAAAATCACCAAATTGAAAGAATGAGATAGAATTTAACTTCTACTAAAACACAGAATTGGCAATGACATTTATTCATGAAAAAAAAAAAACAAGCCACAAGGAATGTTTTGAATTCCCTTTTTTCATTTTTGGTTCTACGTTTAAAAATCAATGACTGAAAGAAACAAGACAAATGAGGGAATAAATGATGAATTTTTTAAGAAGATTATTTTAGTTGGTATTAGTAAAAAATTAGAACATAAACTAATAAACAAAATCTTCTTATTTATGTTTAGCTTCTAATGTTTTGGTTTACAAAGTGATGACATGGAAACCAATAAGCAAAAATTGAAGATACAAAAATTGAAGTAAAAAGGAATGGAGCAAGAATAAGTTAAGAAAAGTGAATGAAATCTCACCAGAAAGAGAAAAAAAGGGAATTTGATTCCAAAATGGTTAAAACAAAGAGACATAAAGAAAACTTCAGCAAAATGAAATAGGGGATGAATCAATGAGACTTGAAACGAAGATGTTTTAAAATTATGAGAAAAGGCAAATGGAATATTTAAATGGAACTTGTTAAAAAATTAGTATAAGAGAATGATTTCAAGCGCTTTTATTACTCGTGTCCCCTTTCATATTGAAGATGGAAATATCTTTGTTATGAATTATGAAGAAAAAAAAGTCAAAAATGAAATGATTAATGCCAAAAGAGAATCAAAGAATAGAGATGCTGCACAACAAGCTTTTATTGTAGGGGTATTATCTCAGTCTGGGTATGAAGTAAATATCAATAGATTATATAAAAGAGGAAGTATAACATATCAAATGTTTACAATTAAAAGTGTTAAAAAGGATAATAAGATTGTATTTGATGCATCTCATCTTGAATTTGAATATGATGGATTAAAAGAAAAGAGACAATACCTTGACGCTATAACAAATAATTATCTTATTGAACTTCTTAATAAAAATGGTGTTAAAGTTGAAGAAAGAAAAACAAGAAAAGTTATTAAACCAAATAGTATTGCTATGAAAAGGTTAAACTCAGTCACCATTAATGGTAAATTCTTTGGATTCAAACATATTAATGAAATTGGGTGTCATTTTAATCAAATTATTCGATCAAGAACATCAACAAAGAGTGGTTCTGTTATTCTTCCATATGACGTTTCTTTTGAATGTGGTAATTTGTCTTCAATTCGAAGTGAATCATGTTAAAGCAAATACTAATAAAAGAGATGTATTTAATTCTATTATTATTATTTTTTTGATGTGTTTTGTTTTCGTTTTTGTAGATTAAACAAAACTCAGAAGATTTTACTATTCATCACCAAACTTTTTTTGAGCTAAAATTCTTTATTTTTAAAAAAATCCAATAAAATTAACTGTAATTACATCCTGCACAACCAGGAACAGGAATATGATGTACTTGTGTATTTTGTGGACTTCCTAAACGGTGACCACCTTCTGGATTATGAGCTCTGTTTCCATTTCCGATTTGGAGGTGATGGTATTCAACCTGTCCAGAAAAATCAAATAACGATGCAAAGCTACTCAATTAATAAAATTAAACACGTGTTAGAAAAAAACAAACTATAAAAAGATTAGGTCTGTTATTGTAATGAAAATATCTGTGAGTGCCATATGAAAATTCTTATCAACTAAAATATGAGATGAACTAAAAAATAATAATTAAAAATGGAAAATACTGTTGAAAGTAGTTTTTCATTAGTTTCATTAATTACCACAATTACAACAATAATTGCATTGTTTATTGGCATTATTGTTTACATCAGTTTGTTTAAAATTACATTTCTTAAAATAAAATGTATTTACTTAATGGTAGTATCAAAGAAGTTTAAAAGTAATAATAAAAAATCTGTTGTAATGATTACTGGGACTAGTGGTGTTGGAAAAACATCATTATATCTTTGTGTTTGTATTCTTTTTTTATTTATTATCATAAGATATAATAAAATGAACTAATAAAATATAGTTACAAAATAATACAACTACAGAAACGTGTACTTCTATGGTTGAAAATATTGGTATTTGTCATGATATTATAACTCAACAACCAATTGAAATAATAGACATTCCTGGTTATGGTAAAGTTAGAGGAATATATAAAAAATATATTGAATCAGCTAAATGTATTATTTTTATGATTGCTGGAGATGAAATTAAGAAAACAATTAAAGACGACGCAGGGTATCTTCATTGTATTATCACCTCAAATACAAATAATTTACCAATATTAATTCTTTGTAATAAGAGTGATATTCCAATGTCTGAATCAAAAGATATTATTAAAATTTTATTAGAAAAAGAATTAAACAAATTACGTATTCGAGTTGCTAAACCAGGAGAAGTAATAGCTGATGATGATTTATATATGTATGGAGACCCTGATGATGAATTTCATTTTGAACAACTCAAGAATCAAATTGTGTTTGCTCAATCTTCAGTAAAAGAAAATGATATAGATTCTATTTGGAACTTCTTGAATGATGTTGGACTAAAATAATTTATTCATTCACAAATAATAAAAATAAAATTTAATTAATACTTCATATATCCATCTTCTATTCTTCTATTTAACGTTTCTAATTGATTTAAATGCCCCTCTTGATCATGGAATACAATATAATCACCATAAGTTGTTCCTACATGGCCTCCCCAATTTTCTGGTGTTAATAAATCAACTCGTTGATTTGTAGTATTTGCAAATTTATAAATCCAGTGACCAAACCCAGGATCTTCTAATGAACTTGGGGCAAAGGTGTAATAATTTTCCCATTTCCCAATAAATTTAATAATGTCCTGACTAAAAATAGATAAGTAACCTCCAGGATAAATGTAATACCGAGGGAGATTTCTAGATAATGGGTCATAATATTTATGTCTTGGGTTAGTATAAGGAGCATGATAAGTTAGTTGTCCAACAACTGTTGGGTTATGAGTATGAGCAAGTAAAAAGTCAGATAATAAATCGACAGTGACAATAATTTCATCATCAACTCGAGTATAGAAATAGTAGTTTGGGAATAATTTAAGTGCCATAATGTAAGCATTAATATTTTTTTGTTGTAAAGTAAACCAATGTTCATTTAAATCAGGCATATCAATGAAATAAATGTCATGGTATGTTTCATTCATTTCAACTAATTCGTTATATTGTTCTAATTGTTTTGCAGACGATTCCACAAAAACAAAAATGCATTTAAATCCATACCGTTGTTGGTATTCATCTCTACACCAAGTATTTCTTGTATTTTCCATATGACTTATTTTAGAAGGAATACTGTGAATAATTGCCAGCCACAATTTTTTAGGATAAGTTCTATCTTCATTTCTTGGTGGATTTTTTGATTGTAGTTCAACATGTGCATATGTATTAAAATCAATCTCATAAGGATAATCTTCTTCGACTTTAAACTTTGGTCCATAGAACTTAGTTACATATTCTCTTTGTTTTTGGGTTATATATTCTTTAGCAGAAAATAATTGAAATAATAAGAGGATTATTATCATTTTTAATTACTGGTTTTTTTCCTTTCTGGTACAATCTATTGAAATAGTGACTGAAGATATAATCTTGTCATCTATATACAAGTATATATATATTTTACTCCTTTTAATTATTGTCATTCTAAAAACCGAAAGCAAAAAAAGGAAAGTCACTTATTGTGGGATGGTTGGGTTTGTGTTGATATACACAAAAATTAGTGCCAATTTAATTTTAGGATCATCAGAGTCATTAAAATTAATTTTTAAGTTTCGTAATGTTTGAATGATAATATCATTTGAGGCATGAATCAAATCAAACTTTGTTATTCCTAGAGCAACAAACCAATTTTCCCTTTCAATTCCACTAACAATAGACATTAACTTTTGGACTTCTAGCTTTTGTTCTTCTTTCCATTCTCCAAAACCGTATGGTAATTTTGAAACATTAATTTTTCCATACAATATAGGAGTATTTAATAGATACATTCTTGCAAATCTTTGACGTTCTTCAAAGAGACTTCTATCTCTTTGAGTATCTCCTTTAATAATATTATCAACAATTGATTCAATAACAGTTGATTTAGTTCTTATTCTTGCTTTTTGAAAGCAAATAGGACATTCATAACAATTTCCATATTTCATTGAGTATTCTAGATCACATGTATAACAAAAGGTATGACCACAACTGAGTGTTGTAGGAACAACAAAAAGTTTCTTACACATAGGACAAGTAACGTTTCCTCTCACAGTATTAGCTCTTAAGTTCATTGAATAATATTCATCTGAAACAGTATCTAAACAAATTTCAGAAGTACTAGTTAAAAAATCACTCGTACTATCAATGTTAGTAGTAGGATTTTCTCCCTTTTTAAGAACTTCATACCGGAAGTTGAAAGAAGAAGATGGTTGTTTAAAAATTGTTCCTATTTCAATACTTTTCCCTCCAGCCAAAGTAATAAGATCCCCATCTCTTAAAGTCTTAAAACTAACCTTTTCATTGTTAACAAAAATCCCATTGGTAGAAAGGTCAGAAATAACAATACCATCAGCAGTTATTTCAAGCTTAGCATGAATTCGTGATATATTCATAGGATGAATTAAACTATCAAAAACAACATCACACTTAGACTGTCTTCCTAGTGTTGTTATTTTCTTAAATAGGTGAATTAAAGTAGGAGCATTTGAGTTAGAGTCAGTACTTTCTTTAATAAGATGAGCATAACAGTCACATTTCCTTTGTTTAAGCCAAACTTGAATTGGTTGAGGGAGCACTACTTTTTTTTGAAGACAATTAGAGTTTTCATTACTTGGCCCTAAGGTGTATCTAGAGTTCATGTGAATTTAGTAATAATAAGATCTAACATCACTCTTTTAAGATGATCTAAATGGAGAGAGGAGTATCTATTCTATTTTTAAAAAAAAACAGGTAGAAGATATAAAACCAAATATATAAAAAAAAGGATACAATTAATCTTGACGAGTAACAAAAGAGACAGTTCTTGTTGGAGTTGCAAAATATTTTTCTTTTTCTTGGAAGACTGAGTTCTCATCAAAGGTATAATGCCTGATATTGTCAAGAAGAATTAAAAATTCGATATCATTATCTGTAACTATTCTTATATTACTAAGAACTATTTGTTTAAGATTTGTTAATTCAATTAAATGTGGTAGTAAAGGAGTAAAACAAGTTTGGTCTTTTAAAGTAAATGATGTGAGTCCAGTAATATCTGAGATAGATAATAATTGAACATTATCACAATCAGATATATAAAGACGTTTTAAAGAAATTAATCCATTAAGTGGAATAGGTTCTTCTGTTTTAATTCTACAATGTCTAATAGATAAAGAGGTAAGATAAGAGAATGAATTAACTGACTTTAAATTTAATAATTGTTGAATAAAATGGAATTCAAGACGTACTAATGAATCACTAATACCAATACATTTATGAATATCAGTAACATCAAATGTAAGATATCCTTTAAAATACAAATTAGGTGGCCATTGTTGAAATCTATTAAATAATGCCTTAGCAAATCTAGATTTAATTTTTCTTTGAATCATTGTCATATGAAGAATGAAAATTCTTTTAGGATCAAATTGAATACCCGTTAAATTAAATGGAGCAAATTGTTGATTTTCTAAAGGAACTGAATATAATTGTAACTGAATATAAAATTTAGAAGAATATTTTAATATATTAAATATTTCTTCACTAATACTATCAATATAATAGAATGATATATGTTTTAAATTTGTGCATTTATCCAATGAAAATACACCTGGATCTTTAACTATTTGGGTACCAGTAATATTTAAATAAGTTAATTGACTTAATTCACTTACTCTATGAATAGAAGAAAATTGGCTAATTGTAGTTGATCGTAAAATTAATGAACATAAATTAGGTAATTTCTTTAAATCGTTAACAGAATCATTAAATGTGTCTAAGTGATAAAAGATATTAAGTGCTGATAATTTTTGCATTGAAACAAAACTTGGAGACCAAACAAAGCATCTTAAATTTTCACATTCTACTAAATTTGAAAACATCTCTACTTCTCTAGGTCCACTAAATCTTTCATTTTTACCGGGATCTTTCCAAAAAGTAAGACTTTTTAATGAGGTTTGAGTTGTTCCAATAAGGGTAGCATATTTTATGATATTTTCTTCTCCAATATCATATGTACCTAAATCAATTTTCGTAAGAGAATGAGCTGGTAATTGACGAATAATATTTGAAAGTAAATGATATTCAGTTGTTGCATTATATGAAAAACATAACGCTTTTAATGTGGAGTTATTAGAAAGCTGTGTAAGTTGTTTATAATCAAATGTAGTAAATTCGTCATTTGCCGAATCACCATTTAATATAGAAGGTGTTAAATATAACGAGTGTATCGGTATATTGACACTTGTTAAATTTCTTTCTAAACATTGTACTTGAATTAAATGATTACAAATATGTTGGCACTTATGATTAATTTGTAAGAAATGTTTTAAATCAAAGTACTCAACGTATGAAAGAATTTGACAGAGTTGTAATGTTGACAATTTGGTCATACCTAACAATTATTTAAAGATGAAGAAAAAAATAAAATAATAAAAAAGAAAAAAAGAAAAGAAAATAGAATAAAAAACAAAATAAAACTAACAATTTCAAAATGGACTTTAATGAATTAATTTTAGACTTTTTTCCTAAAGGAAAAGAACTTTAAATGTTTATTCCAAGATGTCCATAAGTCATGTTGAAAAAGAAAAGAAATTAATTAAAAAAACTAAAGAAACTATGGAAACAGCTACTTGGAAACCTGTTAGAAAAAGGTCTAATTCAACACGTTCTGGAATTCGTTTAGGTATGAGAAAAGGAACACCATCTCCATCATCTACTCCACAAATACAAAGTTCTGTTGTTATTGAATCAAAAGAAGCTCCATGTGTAATTGAAAGTAATAAAATAGATATTAAAATTCATGAACCAAACCAAAAAACTGATGAAATATTGCAAGGAAAATCTAGGTATGCTGATGTTCAAAGACAATTTACATTTTGCGAAGTTGTTGGAAGAGGAGGATTTAGTGTGGTTCATCGAGCAATTTATAAAAAAACACATGAAGTTGTTGCATTAAAAATTATTGATAAAACAATTGTAAGAAAAGATCAATTAGAAACATTGTCAAGAGAAATTGGATTTGTTAAATGGTGTGAACATAAATATTTGTTACAGGTATATGACATATTAGAAGATGATGATTATATTTATGAAGTTCTTGAATTTGCTCCTGGAGGAAATTTATTTCAACGTATTACTAAAAAACCTTTAACTGAACAACAAGCCCAATGGGTTGGATATCAAGTTGCTTCAGCAGTATATTATCTTCATACTCAAGGTATTTGTCATAGAGATTTAAAACCAGAAAACATTTTGTTAATGGAAAAAGATGATGGTTTTAATATTCGTTTAGTAGATTTTGGTTTAGCTAAGAAATTTACTGATGATGTATTAAAAACTCCTTGTGGTACTTTTGATTATGCCCCACCAGAAATGTTACTACACACACCACAATATACTCAATTATGTGATATTTGGAGTTTTGGTGTAACTATATTTGTTTCAATGTGTGGATATTATCCTTTTGATGGAAATAGTTTAGCAGAAAATATTGAACAAATGCAATCTGGAGATATTAATTTTGATGATGATGAATGGGAATTTATTTCTTTTGAATGTAAAGATTTCATCCGAAGATGTCTAGTTGCTGACCCAACAAGAAGAATGAATATTGAAGGAGTATTAACGCATCAATGGTTATGTGGTGCTTCAGTTTATTCAAATCCTTATTTTGCAAATTTATTAAAAGAATTAAGTCAACAAACAATGGACAAAGTTGTAGCACCTAAAAAAATTACTATTGATAGAAATTAAAATTTTACAGTATTTTATACACTTTGTTTCAATTAACATTACTGTAAATTAATTGAAATTCACTATTCTTTTTGTTCTAATAAGTTATAATATCATTCTATTATTTATATTTTTTTTACTATTATTCTTTTTTTCTTATTCTTTTCATATAAACTAACTAATGAAATTTATTATTAAATTTTACTTATTATTGATATGACAGACACTTTGACACAACTCCACAAAACTCGTATTGAAATAGGATCTCTTCGTCAAGTTTTAGAAATTATTTCCCTCAGAACAGAGACAGCACCAATACCTATGCAAGTCCCATTGGCTGTTGATAGTTTTAATGAGCCAGTGGCATTATTTCCTGTTACAGTTGAACCTACGAAATTGAATACTTTTTTAGTTCAATTGAGTGATGAATATTATCTAGAAATGACAGCTAAAGAAGTTGAAAGAAGGTTAAATGAGAAGATTAAGAAATTGGAAACAACGGAACAAACATTACTTGATAAAATCAAAAGTACTACAAATGAAGCAAAGCATAATGTCGAGGGAGATGTTCGTAATATTACAGAGTTTATAACTGAAGAAGAATACCAACAAATGCAACAAAAGAAAAGACCAATCCAAAAAACTAAAGAAGTTGATTATCAAAAAGAACGGGAATACATCAATGAACTTGCATCTTTAGAACGTGAATTAGAACGTTCTGGTAAATTAGAGTATGTAGAAAAAATTGGAAATACTGAAGAAATTGAAGAAATCCCTGAAAGTGAATTTAGTGAAATGCCTGGTGTCAAAGCAACAATCGTAGAAAGGAAAAAGGACAAGAGACAACCTCCACAAGAAGAAAAGCCTAAGAATTCTCCAATTAAAAGTAATGGTATTGTCGAACGGAAAAAGGAAAAGAAAAACCTTTCTCAAGACAGCAACCCCCCTAAAAGAGTCTCTTTATTCAAACAAAGAATGGGAAAATAATTATCCTTTGATTAATAATTAAAATACTTTTTTATTACTATTATTCTTTTTGAGAAAATTTTTTGTTACTAGAGTTATTAGTGAAATGTGTACAGTAAAATATTATGGAATAGCTATTCTATGGGAGGTTTTATTTTTGTTAGATCGTTTGGGTGTTTTAAGTTTGAAAAGGTGTTCTTCCTTAGTTCATTTCTTTTATTAAGGGGGTTTTTCGTCCTTATGATACAAAAAGTTAAATTTTAATGCTATTACTAAAGTATAATTTAAGACATAGATCATTTCATATTCTTAGTTAACAGCTCAGTCAATACGTTTACTTATCGTATTGATTGGTTCTATTCGATCTAAAAGGTTTTATTAAATTAAATATTTCTATATATGTCAACTTTCTATTTCATATTGGTTCTGTTGGAGTTCGTGTATTTATTTGTTTTATGTAGGCCATTTAATTCATTACTTCTATCTTGATAAATTACTTGCCACTTATTAAAACATTATTTTTATCTTTTGTGGTTTGACTCCAAAGGCTAAATCTTAATTAATAATAAATGAAAAAGAGTTGAAATATTTTAAGTATAGATAAAATGAATTATTTATACTCTACATTTCCTTTATTATTATTTTATTATTAATTTTTTCATACAAAACAAGAACACATGAGTGTGATTGTATCAATTAGTTAATAATGTTGTTTTCAGTCAAATTAAAAAGATGAATATTCTCATACTATTAAAATAAATAACGTTGAATGTTCAAATAGCTTTAATTATTGAAATACTGCCATTTTAACGTCAAACTTTAATTGAATAATGAGGATAATAACTTTATTTCATTAAAAAGAAGTTAAAAATATAACTTTATTGACTTATTAAATTCATTTTGATAAACTTATTATATAAAAGAATCAATAGTTCTAAACAAATGGAATTGACTGTAATTATGTATAATATAAAACCATCTTCTATACCAAACTATAACTTCATCAAATATCATATAAGATATAAATGTAGGAATTATTATTACACACACTAAATTATTAAGTAATGTTGAATATTACTGTTATTTTGTTCAATTAACAAAACAATAAAATAGAATGTTAGTACCATCTGAGATGAGTTTGAAACTAATGATCTTCACAATGATTATTTATTTGAATGTGCATATTTTCTATGACTAATTTCCTTAGTTGATAATAAAACATTGTTGAATATCAATGATTGAAAATATGAAATATATTTAATTTTTATTTTCTTTGAAACAAATTAATTGTTATTTTACTAACAAAGTATCATCAAATCTAGTATCCTTTAATTAAAATGAAATTTAATGTTTAAGCTTTTAAATTTGAATATTATTTAATTAAATTATCTTATTATTTGGTCTATTTAATTGGATTATGAAACTATCAAATTTGAATAAAATATAAATTAAAGATACTCTTGTTCTTTTTTAACAATATACTATTTTTCATTTAGAATAATTAAAGTAATAATTCATTTATTTTGAAGTATTGTATATTTTATTATATAAGTTATTGTATTAACACAACAGAGATAAAAGAATTAGTTATGAACATGTACATTGAAAAGAGATATAAGTAATTTACTTCTAATAAAGATAGTTTTCTATTTAAATTTAATGAATAAATATATCTGTCATTCCTAACACAAACTAAGCTTACATTAGCAACATTTTAACAAATAAAACAAACTAAATTGAAAACTTAATATATTTGTAACAATGATCATTAGTTAGTTAACTATTAAAACGTATTGTTGTGTTGATATATTTGCAAAGAAAGTAATAAATAAAAGTAACAAATTTAATGAGTAAGTTTTAAATAATATAACTAATAGGATAAAAATAAGTATTGGAGCAGATGTAACTAGTTGTTAGAATTAACAGATAAACTATCAACAATAAATAAATAAAATCCTTGATTAAAACATTCTTTTATATAAAAGAATACAATAACTAGAACTATAATTTCAATTAAAAATGATGAATTACATTAACACATTCAGAAAAATGAACGACAAGTAAATTTTGAAAAGGTTTTAATGTTTAAAGAAGTAAAATTGGTGAACAATTCAATAAGATAATTGATAAAGAAACTTAGTAACAACTTATTTTAATAAATTGAATAAGTTAAATGTATTATGTCATACTACCATTTCAAATAATTTAGAATAAATAAAATGCCAACTAAAAATAATAAACTATATTTTAGAGTGATGAAATCAAATAATAAATCCAATTGTTAATTTCAATATCGTTAATTAATAATACTTTATTTTTTTGTAAATGGTTTCTTAAAATGGCATTACCCAATACTAACAAGTAATTAGACAAATACATTCTTTTATTTAAATGATATTTCAATAATTTTGATTTTGGACATTGGTAGTTCTAAAAGAAAGAATTAAATAAGAAACAATCTTTGTTTAAATTTCTTGAAATAAAAGTTTATAAATGTTTGAATTAAAGGAATGAATAAGGTTTTGGTGTCGTTAGAAAAGTGAAACTATCACCACCACATAAATGAATATAAAGGAATATACTGCTTTCTTTCAAGTAAAAAAAGCTATATAACAAATAACTAAAACACGATGTAGAAATAGTTCTAAACTCAACCCACCATCAAGTTTGTTGAATTAAATAAATTTTTGACTAAAAAACAAGTTCAACAAAACAGCAATAATATGAGAAAATTGTATTTGACTATATCTAAATAACAAATGATACCTATTCCATTCTTTACTAATACACAAAAATAACCAAATTAAGCGTTAAATCAATTACAATTTCAGAACAATTGTAGTGATGTTATCTGTTGATCCTTTTCCTATTGCTAATTGTGTTAATGATTTTGCTGATGTTGTAAATTCACAATTATTTGATTCTAATACCTCTTTAATTTGTATTCCATTGAGTGTATCCCATAATCCATCACATCCAAGAACAATATATTTATATTCTTCTTTCCATTCAACTTCTTTAACAAATGGTTCTGATACAATCCATTGTTTCAAATGATGATCTCCTAATCCTCGTGTAATTGCTACATCTCCACTGACTCTTCCGTTTATTATCATTCCACCACTTTCTTTAATTCTTTTTGATTCATCTTCATTTGTTGTTTTATGTTCTTCACTCATTGAAATTATTTCATTTGTTCCTATAATAATTCCACATGAATCTCCACAATTTGCCATATGAATTATTCTTTTCTTTTCTTTTATTTCAATAATACACAATAATCCACAACATCCTGAATATTCAATTCCATTTTCTTTTAAACTCATATCCATTTCGTACATTGCATCTTGCATCATTTCTTCAAATTCTTCATCTTTTCTTTGTAAAACTTCTTTAATTTTATCTTTAACAATTTTAGCACAATGCTGTGCTGCTGTACGTCCTCTATGCCCATCAAAGATTGCATATAATGAATAGATATGACCTTCTATTTCAATTAATGGATCACAAATAACATGAGCATCCTATTTGAATTAACTCTTTTTTATTTCTTTTGATTCTTGAAAACAAACTTCCATTGTTCTTCGTTTTGGATAATTTTTATCTGAGTAATATGAGTATTGAGAAACAGTCACTGGGTTTGATGGTATTTCACTCATTCCACTATGAAATATTCTTAGTTCTTTTCTTTTTGTTTTTATCTGAAAATGTTGTTTTCACATTGTTTAGTTCTTCTTGTTTTAATGATGGAGAAGAAGTAACAATGATGGTGGTTCATTGGTATTTAGAACACAAAGGAAAAGAGGTATAAATGAATGAGAGAAGAGTGGTGAAGATAAAATAAAAGAAGAGGATAGTAAAAATACTAGAAGTAATAATAAAGAAAGAACCCTTCAAAAGGAACAAAGAAAGAGAAAACAGAATAATGTCTGAAGAAGAACACACGAAAAGGGGTGATGAAGAAAAAAGTGAAACAAAGAAAATTAAACAAAAACAAGAAAGAAAAGGAAAGAAACAAAGAAACACTGAAAGAAAAGAAGAGAAACAAGAAAAGAGATTTGACCGAAAAGGATTAAGTCGGGAAGAAAAAGAAGAGTTACATAAAGAAGACCAAATCTATAGAACAATATTCATCCAAAATTTATCATTCAGAACAACTGAAGAAGAACTCAAAGAAAAAATGGGAGAATACGGGGATGTATCATATTGTAAAATTTGTATGGATAAAGAAAAAGGTATTAGTAGAGGAACAGGATTTGTTTGTTTCAGAAAAAGAGGAGTAGCAGATAAAATTATTGAAGAAGCATATATGTTTTCAGGGAATAAAGAAAGTGATATTGAAATTGATGGAAGAAGATTAATTCTTCAGAAAGCAATAAAGAAAGAACAAGCAAAAGAAACAAGTGATAGTAAAAAAAAGAAAAAAGAAGGAATTAAAGATAATAGAAATGTTTCATTAGCAATGGTTGGACAAAAAACAAAAGAAGAATATCTTCAACTTGGATTAACACCAAATGAAGCAAAAATTCGATTAAAAGCACAAATGGAACGAAATAAGAAATTAAAAAATGTTAATTTCTGTGTTAATAAATATAGAGTGTGTGTAAGAAATATTCCAAAGAATTCAAATAAAAAGATGATTATGGAAACATTTGGGAAATATTGTATGAAAGGGAAAATATCAGATATTAAAATTATTAAAGGAGAAAGAGGAAAAGCAATTGGATATTGTTTTTTGACATTTACAGAAGCAGAAGATGCATATCAATTTGTAGAAAAAGTCAATGAGAGTCTTCAATTTAAAGAACAAAGACGAGTTATGGTAGAATTTTCAATTGATGATATGGTTAAATTACATAAATTCAAAGCAGAAATGGAAAGAAGAAAATTTAATCAAGAAAAGAAGAAATTCATTGAAGAACATTCAGTAAACAATGTTGGTAAAAGAGTCAAAGTTACATCTCTTCCTAAAGAAGTTATTAAATCAGAATCAACAACAAATATAAAGAAAACAAAGAAGAAAGGAATAAACAGAAAAATTGGAATAACAAAGAAATTTAATGCAAAGAAATCAGTATTATTATAAAAGATTTTCAATGAAACACAAAGAAATTATTGAATGGTTTTTGAATATTTTAATAATTCATTCATCTCATCTTCTTTTTTTTTTTAATAAATTATTGCAAATATTCAACACCTTCAACCATAAAATAATAATTATATCTTGAAGAATATATAAATAATGAATATAAAAATCATTAATTCTTTAAAGAATATTAAAAAGAATAAAAAATAAAGATAAATAATATATAAAAGAAGTAAGACCAATGTATTAAATATAAAATATAAATTGGATATAAAGAACTTTTTAAATTTCAAAATAATAAGATAAATGCTTCATTTTAGAATGATGAAATAAAACAATGATGACTATCTTATAATTAAATTTATATACCTGTTATTACTCTCTCTCGTTATATTATGTAATTTTATCATCACTATATTGTTGTCTTTTCTTTCTTAAAGGTTTACAATATAAAACAGTAATTTACTTGCATTGTTATAAACTCGATGCCTTAACGTTCTTATTAAATAATATTATGTGAATTAAATTATGGATGCCATTGATTGTTTCTAGATTATATTAGTTAATTTCTAATTTTTACTTATTTAATAATTTAAATTTTGTTTATCAGCTTTATGTCGAAATATTATTTTCTTTATAACATCCCTTTCTTGATTTATATTTTAATAATAAACCTCTTTTCTGTTGTTGTGAAATAAACAGTTACCAAGATTGACTAAGCTGTATAATAATAATCTATCTTATTCTTACTCATTTCTTTTATTCATCCATCTCTTCAACCTTCTTACATATATCTTTATTTATACTTGCTATCAGTTGTTTAGTCTTCAGGTAGTTCTTAAGTAAATCACATAATTTCTGAGTATTTATTCAACCAACGTTAAGGCAATTTGTTTCTGATATAAAACACAAGCCTCACTAAATTAATAAATTTGTATAGTGCTTAATTTTTTGTGACATTAATGCTTTGTAAAGAGATTGGTGTAGATATTTTAACTTTTAGTTCAAACGAAAAAAAAGAGATGAAAAAAACCAAAGAAGAAGTTAAATTTAATTAACAAAAAATAGGGCTTTTTTAATTTTTTCTTAAGAAAAAAAATGAAAAATAAGGAAAAGCAACTGAAAAGATAGTAAAGATTTTTTTAAATGGAACCAGCACCAGGGTGTTATCGTATTTGTTTAGCATCAGACTTCTTTTACCCGAATATGGGAGGGGTTGAATTTCACCAATATCAAATCGCACATTTTTTTGTAAAACATGGACATAAAGTTGTTGTCATAACACATCAATATGGGAATAGAACAGGTGTAAGAATATTAAAGAATGGAATTAAAGTATATTATTTACCATTACTTCGAATGTTTAATGAGTGTTGTTTTCCAACTGGAATGAGTGAACATGCATTAATTAGAAATATATTAATTAGAGAACAAATTCAAATATTACATGCACACCAATCTTTTTCAGCAATAAGTCTTGAATCAATGTTTTTTGCAAGGTTATTAGGAATTAGAGTTTTTCTTACTGAACATTCATTATTTGGATTAAAAGGACTTGCAAGTATTATGTTAAATTCAGTACTTCAATATTCGTTAGCAAATAGTGACGGAGCAATTGCAGTGTCACATTGTACTAAAGAGAATATGTGTATTAGAGCAAAAAGAGATCCAACAAAGATATATGTTATTCCAAATGCATTAGAATCAAGTAAATTTCAACCAGATATAAGTAAAAGAGATCCAAATCATATTAATATTGTTATTTTAAGTAGATTGGTATATCGTAAAGGTATTGATTTAGCAGTTGGAATTATTCCATATATTTGTTCTAAATATCCTAAAGTAAATTTTATTGTTGGAGGAAATGGACCAATGATGTTAAATTTTGAAGAAATGAGAGAAAAATATCAATTACAAAGTCGAGTAAAATTACTTGGTGCTATTCAACATTGTGAAACTCGTGATGTATTAGTTCAAGGTGACATTTTCTTAAATTGTTCTTTAACAGAAGGTTTTTGTATTGCAATTATTGAAGCATTAAGTTGTGGATTACATGTTATTTCAACTCATGTTGGTGGCATTAAAGAAGTACTTCCAAATAGTTTAATTAAATATTCAATGCCAACAGTTGAAGATTTATGTAAAAAAGTTGAAGAAGTAATTCCAATTTGTAAAGAAGAACGTTCATGGGAATTTCATAATGCAGTAAAATCATTTTATTCATGGGAAAGAGTTGCGTCACGTACAGAACAAGTTTATCATGAAGTTCTTCAAAAACCACAAGACGACCTTCCCAGTCATTTCAATAAGTTTTGTTTATTTATTCTTTTTTTATTTAAAGGGATAATTTCCATTAATTAATGAATGTAATTAAAGTATAAAAAAAAAAACAAAAATACTTATTTATTTAGAATGTATTATGAAGGGGTTTATTCTGGTCCATTTATGTTTTTCTTACATTATTTCTTATTGTTAATTTCTTGTTTCCTTAATTTTATTTGGCCTAAAGAGTCTATTGAAAAAGCATATGAAATTCCAAGAAAATGTTACAGAAATGGATTGATTAGTGAAAGTAGTGAAGAAAAGAAAACTAAATAACTTGAACTTTAAAAAGAAATTTAAATAAATTATTTTTTTATTTTTTGTTTTATTTTTGTTAATAAAATCTAAAATCAAAAAGAACTTAAAAATTATATTTTTCTAAGGTAGTTTTATGCAATTCAATTATATTTTATTATTTTTGATGATTATTGCTGCTTTTGCTTCATTTAATGTATCTCCACAACAATTAGAGAGAGAACAAAAGAAAGGTGGTAAATTTTTTGTTGTTTGTTATACAAATGAATGGAGGTAAAAAATAATATATTAAAACGTAGAGATATTATGCACCATGGTGTGGATTTTGTAAGATGATGTCTTATGACTATAAAAAATTATTCAGAAAATATAAAGGAACAAAGGTTACAGTTTGTCAAATTGATTGTGATAAATATAATAGCTATTGTGAAAAGATGGGAATAGAAGGTTTCCCTACTTTAAAGTTATATGATGGTGCATCTTTAATTAGTGAATACGAAAAAGACAGAACATATAAGGATATGGACAAATTCCTTTCTGATTATCTTGCTTAATTTAATTTCTTTTTTCATAAATTTTTTTGGATTAATAAGAACTTAACTCAACTTAATCAATGAGTTTACAAGTATTACCCCATGAGGAAAGTCTTTTTGGTTTAGAAGAAAAGAACGAAGGTAAAATTATTTTAATGCAAGATAAGTTGATAAATGGTTTTGAAGATGAAGTCTTAACAGATTTAAAAACATTAAACATTGAAAATTGGTTAGAACTTAGTGAAATGTTTCCAAAGTTTATTCATTGTGTTGTTGCAATGGGGTTTGTGAATGAAATTTATATTTAATGTCTTTTAAGTTTACTAATTATCATTTAGTTATGAAAAGATACTTGTGTATTTACTGGAATTATTCCCTAAAAAAATCGAAACAAAAAACGTGATTGGTTCTACTCTTATTTATACTGCCATTGAAGCAAGACAAGATAATCTCACTCAAATCTTAATTAACAAAAGAGCAAACCTTCTTGTTATCAATGGAAGGGGTAATTCATTACTTCATGCAATTTCAAAAAGAAGTGGTAGAGATATTTTAACTCTTATGCAAAAAATTATTAATTTACAGCCATCACTTTTAAATGTACAAAATAGTTATGGAGAAACTCCACTTCATCTTGCATGTTTATGTGGAATAATTGATAATGTAGAATTATTATTAAAAAATGGAGCACATACAGACATTGAAACAAGGAATGGAAAAACGCCAAGTATGTATGCTATTGAATCAGTAAAATCAAGAGAAATTCAAGTATTGATTAATAATTACACACCAAAAATAACTAAAATTGAAGAAGAAAAAGAAAGTTTTACACAAAAAATAACAAAATCAATAAAAAATACATTACAAGTAAAAGAAATAGTAAAACTAGAAGAAGATACAAAAAATGTTCAGCCTTTTCAAAAAGAAGAATTAAAAGAAATAGAGGAGATTGAATCTGATCACGAATTTGAAGATGATATAAGTTCAATTATTGAAGAAAGAATTTGCCAAATTGAAGAAAAGAAAGAAGAAGAAACAAATAGTAATAATAAAGAAGAAATAAAATTAGGAATGTCATTAAAACCACAAAAAATTATAAAAAATGTTTTATATTTAGGTACACAAGAATATAGAGAAAGAAAACTAGAAATACTAATTCAAGAATTATGCAATTTATATCCAATTGATACATTAGTAACTGATACTTCATTAACTTATACCCCAAATCAAAAATATAGAATACTATCATTAGATGGTTTATCAGATAATCCAATTCTTCAAATTTATATATTACAGAAATTAGTACAAAAATTTCCAATGTTTATTGCTAAATGCAATGTAATTTCAGGAGTTGGAATATCAGCATTTATTGCTGGTTCAATTGCAAAAGGTTTATCTTTAGATTTTTTAGAAAAGGTTTTTCCTTTAATAGAAAAATATACTAGAATTTCAAAGAAACGACGATTCAATGCATCTACTAAATATACTAATCATTATTATGATATTGCATGTTCATCTTTATTCTCTAACCAAACACTTTCTAAATTCCCAAGAAAATTTTTTACATATTACCAACAACTTTCTAATTCCTTTGTTATTGCAGAAGGAAGTGAAAGGGCTAATGAAGCAATTATGAAGTCTTGTTCTCTTCCATTTCTTTTTAAACCATATTGTAATTGTATTTCAGGAATGATAATTCAACCAAACCCTTCTAATTATGCCTTAATGGATGCACTTAAGACAGGAATTAGAAAAGAGGATTGTGTTGTACTTTCACTTTCTAATGGATTTGAACATTCAGAAGATGGAGAAGGTTATTCTGATTTCTTTTTGAGTGACTGGTTCTCTTCAAAAGAGTTTCAAAACTTTGAAGGTCAAATTAAACAGTCATCAGTTTTTTGTTCAACAATTCTTGGAGATAGATTTTTAAGATTTTCACCAATGATTCATAATACAAATGAAGAAGACCTAAAGAAAATAGTTCAAAAGATGAGATTTTCTAAATTAGAACAATGGTTAAGTAAAGAATGGTTTAATTAAAATAGATTTTTTGTTATTATTATTGTTTAAAAAAATATAAAAACAAAAAAGTTACTATAAAAAATTGTTGTAATATTGTTAGTTTTAGCAATATGTGTGATAAATCATCTATTCATGTACCTATTAATTTAATGGATCGAATTAAATATAAATTAGAAATACCAGTTATGTGGAATGAAGATTCAAATACTCATGAGGATGAAATCTTTTTTGAAGAGGAGGATAAATTAATTACAAAAACAAAAGAACAAGAAAATAAAAAAGATGTAAAAAAAAAAGGGATTATTAAATACTCAAGAAAAACAAAAGTAGAAGATAAAGAAGAAGAAAAAAAACCAACTAATATATCAAAAAAGTTATTATTATCTTCAAAATTAAAGAAAAAAGAATTTATTGCAGCAGATGAAGAAATTAGACAACAAATAGAATATGTTGTTACTGAATTAGAGAAAAGACAAACAGAAGAAAATCCTATTGTTGATGGAATAATAACAAACTCAAAAAAATTAAATGAAAATGAAGTACTTCCTAATACAGATCTTAAAAAGGATGTTCTTGATTTAAGAACAGCAAACAATACTATTACTTTTGTTTCAAATGAAATCCCACCTATATTAATGAAACAAAATACACCTAAGAATAAAATTCAATTACGAACAACACAAAATAAATACCATTTTCCAGGAACTGAATGTGGATTTGATACTATAAAAGAATATAAATTAATGAAATTAAATGCAGATAAAAAAGAATTGAAAACAATTAAAATTCTTATTAATGAATTAGATAAAACAATAGAATCCTGTAATGAAGAAGAATATAAATGAAAAAAATATCAATTTAAAATAATTTTTACATTGTAACATTTTGTACTTTTGCACAGATTATTTTTGGAATAAATCCGACATGAGGTCCTTTTACTGCTTTATACAAATTACCAGATTTAGCAAGAAGATAAATACGATCTCCTTTTGTGAGAGATAACATTCCTTTTGTTCCAGAAAAATCTTCAATTGCTACAAACAAAAATTTTTCTAATAATTCTTGAACAAAATTAGATGGAAAAATTCCTGGAATACCTCCTTTTTTACCAATCCACCAACCATCTGATTTATATAATATTTCTATCACATCATCAACTCTAAGAGACATTTCTCTTTCAGCACTTGCAGTAAATGGAAATAAAGCAACACATTTACCAATAGTTGGAGCAAATAATAATTTATTAATTAATAATAATAAATTTGATGGTTTTGATGGTGGAATTGGAGTATTTTGTTGATGAGAATGTTGATAAAACTGTTTTATTCGTGCATCAACATTAGGGTTGATTGTAGTACCTTTTGTAGTGTCTGGTAATACTTGTTCTTTATGTTTTGGTAAATGTAGTCCTTGACAAATTGCATTACATTGATGAGTTCTAAAAAATTGAGAAATTCCTACTTCGCCAAGATTTGTTTCTGAATAAATAAACTTGTTTTGATCTATATGATGTAGTGCTGGATCTGTAAGATAGAACTTATTATTGGCATTAACCCCTTGAATATCACATATCAATAATGTTCCTTTTGTATGAACCCATGTCCAATGAGCAAATGCATGTAACGTTGAATGGAATTCAGATTCATTAATCCACCCATTATTGTCAATATATTTGATAAAATATCCATTAAGATATGGCTCTACAAAATTAGGCGTTCTACATGTAGCAGCAACTGCTTGCTCAGTTTGTTCGAGAGTTAAAACTTTACCATCTAATTCTTTTGTTGGATTTGGAATAAATAAATAATTTGGAAGGAAATGAAGTTTATTTGGTGAAACATTTAATTTATTGAATATATTTGCTAAATAAATACAAATTAATTGTCGTTCAATTGTTTCTAATAACATTGTAAGCGGTCTTTGTTGGAAAAATCGTTTAAGAACAATTCTCTCTCCATACCCATTTATTGCTCGAAAAGCAAGTCGCTCTCCTCCTTTTGCAAATGGAGCTAATTCAACCCTAAATGTACTGTGTTGAAATAAAAATTGATTTATTCGTTGATTTGATGCAAGGAATTTTCGAATTTGTGTAGTTTCATTAGGAACAGTAATGATATATCCACTCACTTGAGTTTGGTATTGTGGTTCTTTTTCAGAAAGTAATGGATCTACCATCATATCTCTTGACATTGTCACTTTTTGTTTTTCATTGTTTTTAAGTTCTTTTTTTAAGAATATTAGTTTTATATAACAAAATAAAAAACATAAATCAATTGAAGAGATGAAAGTAATTAAAAAATAACTCAGAAGTGAAACTATAAAGATGAAGTAACCAAAATGATTTTCATTTAGTGTCCAGTATTTTATTCAATTATTAGTTGCAGATTTATTTTTTCAATTCAAAAGTGATAGTTTAGGTAAATAAATGAAGGTTAGAATTGACAATCTCAAATTTTTATTTATATTTTGATGTTTTATAATAGTCATTCCAAAAAAAAAAGATTACCATATCAGTTAATTTACAATCGGATAAATATCTTATCGTTTAATTAGACTATTTGTCTTTATTTCATTGTTTATTCTTTTATTTGTAAAAGAAATGAATCAAATGTATAAAAGTTTTTTAAAGAGGTAATATTATTCTTGTATATGTCACTGAATCTATCTTTTTCTTTTCAATTTTTTTATTTTTATTACAAATCATTTTCTTAGTACTTAACGTATTTTCTATTCAATTGTTTCATTTTGTCTGTTCTATTAATGATAAACTAATTTCTTATAAATTTAAGTTATAAATTTTTGTGAAGTTAAACATATAGAATACAAATTGATTTATCTTTTATAAAGGTTAATATTTCTTTTTTACTAGTTTTATTATTACTAATTTCAAAAAAGGTAATAAGAATTAAAATTAGATAATTATTTGAAGGGTTCTTTTGTTCTTTCAATAATGGGTGGACTAAAGATCGAAAAAAATAAAGTATATTAATAAAGTTTAC